TAACAACTTTTTGAAGCAACTAGGAGGTACTGTTGAAGTGCAGAGCTTGGTGATGGCTGGTAGCAAATGTTGTGCTGCAAATGTATCTTCATGCTTCTCCTGAGACGAGTGGCTCTCCGTGCTCTGGCATGGCAGCAGAAGTCTGATTTGCAGAATGTTCTAATAACTGTACAGCAAACAAATGCCTGTGGTTTAGCTGAGACTTGCTGTGTGATGTGAGCTGCTGATTCACTCTGGCTGGCTGCTGCATTCAGCCCTGTCTCCTGCAGACAGGGGTGCCTCTGCCTGATGCCCCTCCACTGTATCAGTACAGTTAAATCTAAAATGGGAACCCTGGCAGGCTTTAACAGAGGAGGTGCTCTGAGGAGGGGACAGCACATTTTACGTTTGGAAGCCTAGGTGTACACAGGGTGCTTAACACAATACAGTGTTTTACTGTATACATATGGTGTTACAACAATGAGATGGATCACAGGACCTATCCTTCAGTGCTGCAGTTGCTTGTTGGGATTCTGCTGGCACTTGGAAGTTTGGAATGTGCTAGTGATGACTATTCACCTCACTATGGATATGCTTAATGTATGGACATGGTATTGCAAGTGGCTGCCTAGTGTTTTTTTTCTGAATTTCAGTACCGCTGTAAAGAACAGGAAACCTATAAAAAGTTCTGAGATACTCATAGAGCATCTTGTGTCAGTGAGAAGCACTCTTTCCTCACAAATGTCTCCAGTAAAATGTAACATTGTTTTTAATAGAGACTGGCAGACTTTTGTGAGCCATCCAATGGCTCTTAGCTTTCCAACAGCCCATTGCATTGATCTTACTAAAACTTCTCACTGACCTGCTGCTCTGGGATAAAGAAAAGATAGTTATTTATCTATTAATGCAAATCTGACAGAGTAGGTATATAAAAAGGGCTGTAACAAAAAAGTTTAGTTGCCTGGATCACTTGGAGTAAAAGTAGCCTCAATTTTTACCAAATCTAATACTGAATCATTTATTACACTGTTTTCTGTGCTTAAGCCTGCTTTGTCCATGGTGTGGTCCTAATGATTGGTGGAAATGCAAGCAAGACAAATCACTAGGGGATATCATGAGCTTTAGGAATGGCACATTTAAAGTCGTGGAGCTGTCGGCTTCTGATGAACGAAGCCAAATCTAGAGCTTAGGGAATTTTGCACCCAGCACAGTGCTTACGTTTGCCTGGCTACTTTTTTGTTCCCACTGAAAAGGGCTGTGTGGGTGGCTGGAGGAGCTAGAGATCTGCAAAAGTATTTGTTACTGGTGGAAGGGCTTTGGCCAAAGTTTCAGTTTCTGAATAGAGGGAGCAAAGCGCACTTTACAGATCACTTCTGTATGAGAATGCTCTTGTGTTTTAACAGTTCGAATAGAATTTGTTAGGAAGTGCAAACAAGCTGGGCTTCTGGATGACATATTTGAAGAAATGCTGGACACACTTCACCTGGCTCAGGAAAAACTGATGGATGACAATACTTCAGAAACAGGTATGTTTTGGGGGGACCCATGGCAGGGACTCTGCTGTCAGGGCAGAGGTGCAGATCTGAATCCCAGGCACTTGGCCCTGGGCCACCTTCCTGAGGATACCATGGTGCTAAATAACTCAGTCCTTATTTCTGCAGCTGTGCAGGACTTTGAGAATGACCTTCCCTTTTGAATGACCACTTACAATGAAAGTTCCAAGGGACAAACTTCTTTCTCAAAATTATATAAGAGCTGCCAACTCAGCATCTCTAGCGAGACCTTCTGACTTCAATTTTTGAAGCCACCTTTTACATGTTGACATAAGCATAGGAACATTCAGTCCAGCCTCTTCTCCCTGGAACTGGAGAACAGAGAGGTCCTGAAGAGAATCAGGTTTTATTTGGGTCATAAGTCTGTGTTGCTCTTGCAATTTCACAGAGGGACCAGCTGTCAATATCAGCACTCTCTTCTGAGTGAAAATCCCTATGTACATTTTAAGGCTTTGGGTGATTTATTACAACTATATTGTCAGCTGTTAGTGTCTTTTTGGGGTTTTTATGGGTTTATCACCTTGTGTGAACTACTTTGTTTTTAAAGAATTCCAATCTAATGTTGCTTTGTCCACAACATAGTTAAAGAAAATTTCAAACCTTCCTCTCCAATTGTCCTCCCAGTTTTGCAAGGTCAGGAGTAATACCTTTGCATAAAGAATGTTATTTTAGGCAAAGTAACTGCAGTACATGCATGGAAAAGTGAAATGTCCCACCTGGTAAGTCCTCCTTCATGAGCAGCTTGTGTGTCAATGGTCAATTGAACTCTGTGAGTGCTTTGTATTTTGCTTTAGCAGAAGCTTCAGGTATGAAATGGAGGTGTAATTCTTGGATGTTTCTTAACAGCAAACAGGGATAGCTTAGTCCCACACATGACCCTGTCAGGAGGAGTTGGTACAGTCAGCTCTGCCATCATACAGTCCTGGGACACTGAGGTGAAACATGACCTAAGTATATTGCTCTTCTTTAAATGCACTGTTCATGTGATGCAGACCAAAAAGGGAATAATTTTCTGTATGAAACTAAAAAGAAAGAATTGACAACTTGATCCTTCTTTCTCAATATAGATTATATGAGAAAGAAGACCTCTTAAAACCTCAAGCAGTCAGTATGATGGAAAATAAGTAATTGTTTTGTTGTATTTCTAATGTAGGGCTCTATAAACCTTTACTCAGTAGTATTACATCAAATTATCTCTTTCCCCAGAGTATGAGGAGACAGTGATGGCACTGTTTGACTGTGGACTGTTTGAAAATATACTGACAAATGTTTATTCAGGTATGTGCAGAAAAGCTGTCAGTTGGTCTGGGATTTGGCATTGAAATTATTCTAATGAGAATTTTGACAGAACAATCATTTAAAATGAAAATTCCAAGGAACTTTTTTTCTCAGTGTTATATAAACAGTTGAACAAAAGCCATGGCTAGCTGAATCTTTAGAAACACAGTATATCAGATTTGGCTGGCTGACCTGAAGGAGGGAGCAACTCACAGTTCCATGGCTTTAAAAGGCCAAAGGGACTCTGCCCTAGGAGAACTCCCCTCTCCTGCAGCTTATTTGGGTTCCTTCACAGCCTCTTTTCAGCAACTTGCAGCATTACAGCTCTGCTGCTGGCTGACAAATGCTGGTCAGAGTAATGCTTTCCTGAAACGCAGCCAAAGGCCAGCAGAACTCACCTGGACTGAGGGGCTATTGTGCTTTGAAAAACAAGTTGAGAATGCTCAGAGTGAAATGCAGACAAAGGCAGGAACAGTTGCTTGGGAGCACAGTGTGGAAGGAAATTCTGGGGCTTGAACTCTCAGCTGTTTGAAACAACAAGGCTGAAGCTGTTTTTCAGATAGGCAAGTCTCATGCTTCCCATTTCCCTCTCCAACAGTTGTTCTAACTCTGGCTTTAATTTATTCTGGTGAAAAGGGTTTTAATTAGCTAATGTTGAGGTTTGGTATGTGAAGGTGATGTTTGCTGTTTCCCCTTCATTTGACTGAAAAAGCCAGGCTCTTCCCTTCAGAATCCTGTTCTTGCATTTAAATTCCTTTTCTAGTTGGAGTGTGCAGTGTTGCAGGTGTCTGACACAAGGTTCCACCAGTGCCTCATCTGAGGACATTAAAACACCTCTGCTCAGAATTCCTCATGTGACACAACCTTGGATCACACTTGTGTCTTTCTCTGCTGCATCAATTATTTCATCCTATTCTCAGCTTACAGGAAAATCTCTCGATATTGGCACCTCCCTGCACACAACCATGTGATTCTCATGGGTACTAGCTGTTCCCTCTCCAAATCCCCACAATTCAAGCAGCTCAATTCTTCCTGTTCCATACAATCTTATTGTCTGAGATCTTTTAATTTCAAGGTCAATAATGAGGTTAGTTCCAAAACTGATCCAAGAGGAGCTCTTAAAATGAAGCAGTGAGAAAGGAATGAAAACCATGTTAATTACAAGTGAAACTGTAGAGAGTGAAGCAGATCACCAGCTGCTTTTTTTTTTTTCCTTTTTTTTTTTGCTTATTATTACTGTTGTCATAATCTCTTCTAAGCTCTAGCTAGCAAGTCTCTGTGGTGATGTACTAAATCAAGGACTACATAAAGTAGGACTGGTATAAATACTGTGTCTCAAGCTGATGGTTCTGGGTCCTCTGCCGTGCTTAAACTTTAATCCTTTTGCCACTTAAATCATCATGCAAAACCTGTTCTAAAGCCTTACATGCTAGAACAGCAAGACTTCTCTGAACTGTAACTGTTGAAAAGGCTTTTAAAAATCCCTTTTATATACGGGGATCTCAGGGATCCACACTCCTTTTGCAGCATGAAGCTTTACTGCAAACTCAACTGCATGTAAGACTTTCCACACAGGATATGCTGTCACCTCAGCAGCAATTTCAGATTTCTAGGTTGGAGGTTCTTTTCCTCTGCTCCAAGAAAAAGTGACTTCTTTTAGTTTTGCTTTCAGTTCCCCTTGTGTCCTGCTTGGGCAGGATGCCTCCATCAGCTTCCCTCTCCTCTGTGCTGGTCAGCAGTCTGGCCAGGAGCTTTTGAGCTCCTTGACAGCATTTGTTTTCAGGAGATTTGTAGCAGCAAATTCTGCAATTCAGATAAAGGTTGTGGAAAAACGCCACGATACTTAATTTTAAAACTATTGTGCAGTTCCCTCACTGAGAGCCCCATAGCACTTGGGGCAGTCAGTCCAGGTCCACATCCCTCAGACCATTCTTGATTTTACAGAAATACATTTTTCTTTCCCTTCAGTTAATTTCCTCTATGAGGTGGGAGGTTCTCAATCTGTTACCTGCCTTCCTGTGGAAGTACTTCTGTAGGCCAGTCATTCCCATCACTGACATCTTTCTCTGGGCTACTTCTATTTCTGCCACATCCTTTTGGCAGGAGAGAAACTGAGCTCTGTGTGTTCCATCTGTGATCAACAGGATCACAGAGTGTTCTGAGTTAGAAGGGACCCGCAAGGATCACAAATGGCCCGTATGGGGATTGAACCTGTAACTGTGGTGTTATTAGCACCATGCTCTAACCAACTGAGCTGCTTTGTTAATATCTGATAACTAATTCATATCCAGATATTCTCTAAGAGGGATTTTTTTCCATGGTTCCACTTGTACATGTCCAGCTTCTTCAAGTATGTGTCACCTGACTGCAGAAGGGAAGGGGCATCTCCTTCTCTTCAGTCAGAGCCAGGCTGGAGCACTAGGTCCCTCTTCAGTGAATGCTACCAGAATTTCCCATGGTGTTTTCAACACCCACACCCAACTTTGGGTAATATTTAAAAAGCATCCATGTGTATCACCTTCCACATCCACCCACAGGCAGCAGGTGCTGCACCTTCTGACTAGAGGAAGAAGCAGCAGGAATGCAGAAGGCCAAACTGCTTTCCTTTTTTTTTTTTTTTCTCCCCAAATCAGTTAAGGCTCTCTTACTCTGCATAGCATGAGGTAAACAGCTGGAGAGAATTTCTCCACTCTACTCATTGCAACTTTGGAGACATCCTTCAACATCTTCTCCCCCAAAAGAGGAAAAATATGTTCAATTCATACAAAATGTCTTCTTCTTACTTAGAATCTGTACTCTCAACAGTCTCACACACTGAGAAAGTAATTTGTTGTTCACAGGCCAACCTCTGTGAATGCAGTTGTCCAAGCCATCTGTTTTTAGGTTTAATTTTGTTGCTCACTAAAATCCATTAGGCTTGTAAATTTGCTTTAGGAGTGTCACTTAGAGATGGTATCTTTAAAGATTTAAATTATGTCATTGTTGGAGGAGTTCTCACACAAATGGGCTCTGAAAACAGAACTGTGAAAACTCATATGCCAGTTAACACAGCGGGTTAGTAGCTAAACTAGTAATTTTTACATATGATGAGATGTTTTAAATTTAATCTCAAAACTAGCTCTGTTATACATTTCAGCATATGGATGACAGAGTATGTGATCCCTGCTCTGTGCTTTCTCTGACGCACCAGCCAGGCTCTCAGCAGACACAGAGTTCAGCTCTTTGTGAAGACAACAGGCATGCAAGGTGGTCGGTTACAGAAATTGCTGCAGAAACACAAAGGTTTTATTGTAGGTTAAACCAAGCATCAGGAGTTCTGCAGAGTTGATGAATATGTAACTTATTTTATATTAGTAATACTTATGTATAATAATAAAAGCTTTTTACCCCTTTTTTGTAATAGGAACAGAAGAAAAAATCCAGAAACTTCTGGAAAACAGAAAAAGACTGGATCACAAGATTGAGCTACTGCAGGACTTAAAAAAAGTCATCCTTCCTACTCCAGAGAACATCGCCAGTACATCCAGTACAGTGTCTGAATAACCTTTGTCTGTGATGGTGCAATAGTTAGGATTTTCTAATGATAAAAACCATAGAGCAATCTGGTCAGTGCCCAATTCCCCAGCCCCAAGATGGAGGCTGAATGGGTACAAGAATGGGGTGTTATACTCATTTTTATACCTCACTGTTACAGTAATTTAAAGTTCTTCAAGTTTTCAAATCTTCATCTTTAAATTTTCCCCTATTCCACTATGAATTTCTATTTATACTCCACAATGGAATACAAATGAGTGTTATAAACTAAATTTAGCTTTTGCAAAAGAACCAAACAGAACACTCCAGTGATGACTTTTTTCTCAAAGCCAAGGGAGTGTTCAGGTGCCACAGAACACTTGCTAAAGTCACTTTAACTATGGGAACCCTCTCCTGACTGGGCAGTAGCTACCTCGCTGTCTGTGTCTATACAGTTATGTTTGAAAGATCATAGTGCTGCTTTGGCTTTCCCAAAAAAGAAAAATGAGCAGAACTTGCACTCAAAGAAGCTTTCTGGATTATAAACAGGAGCTTAATTAAAAAAGCCAAATTATTCTTTATTGACTGGTCAGGCTGTTCCTGCTGTAATATCAGTGGTAAAGCAGTGTTTGTAGGCAGTCTAGAAAGGGCTGGGCATTATACTCAGACCATGTACAATGTCAGATGGAGCACAGCAGTGACTGCATCTTCCTTTCTCCATTAAGAAAGGGTTCAACTTTCACATGTTTTGTCTTTAAAATATTGTTTGAATACAGCAAAGCATTGTTTAGCCACAACAGGCTAAGTTAATAAAATAAAACATTTTTAAAGGAGCTGTGTGTGGAGTTGTGCTCCCTGTTCCTGCTGCTGCACAGGACATGGCCAAGAGGGAATGCTGTCAGGTCATGCTTTACCCAGCCCTTGGCTGAAGGACAAGCAGAGCACTGGCAAATGTGACACGTGTGACATCCTGTTACATCTGTACTCTCTCCATGACCACTTGCAATTCCTCACTTGAGCTTGTTCTGTAGGAAGGTGGGGATTAATAAGCACAGGATAACAGCATTCAAAACAAGCTCTTGAACTATAAGGTATGCCTCATTCAACAAAATAATAGTAATTTTAATTGCTTACACAGTTCAAGTCTGCTTCCCTTCTGGGCCTAGAAACAGCACCAGTTTACTGCCCAAGCTCAGGACTTGAGTGGCACTCAGCCTAAAAAAAATCCACCTAAACCAAAAATGCATTAACAAGGGCCTCTGTTATTAAACACAGTAAGAATGATAAGGATGTCGATACATACCTTCTGAAGGGTTACAGCCACTTAAGGATGACTTAGTATAAAAAGTCAGATCCATAGTGAATCACTGAGGTCTAAAATTAGTGCCTACAAAGAAATTTGCTCATTTCTGAAATCAAGGTCACAGGTATTTTGTCAGGCACAGTGAAATCAGCAAGATTCATTGTATTGGGTGAGTTGAGTTTTGGCTTTGTTTGGGTTTTCCTTCATTGTTTTGATGAGATTTTTAAAATGAAACACATGCTGTATTAACACAAAAAGCTTGCAATGTTCTTCAAAATCCAAAGTTTGCTAGTGAAGAGGTACAAAAAAGTGGATTTTATTACATGTAGTTTAAATTTAGACAATAATTAAAAGCAAAACCCCACACAGCCTTCCCTTCCCCCTCCAAGGGAACTAACATAATCTTAAGTCACTGAAAAGTAGAATTATTTCCATTAAGCATTATAAATACTGCTTGAACAGATTACACAAAGTATACATTACAACTTACATTAAAATATACCCAAATATAGAGATTTACTTCAAATTAGTTTTCCTAGTAACTCCTTTCTTCAAAGTCACTTGTGTAGGCTTTGAGGATACATTATTTTTGCACACTTGAAGCACTGGATACACTTGGTTAATTACACACAGCAAATGGCCAATTCATTCACAATCATGCAAATGCAGGAAGAGATAACCATGCCATTTGCTTCCCTATAATCCCAGGGAGTTAATGATTTGACTGACATCATTCAGTGACTCAGGTCAGACTATTTTCCAACCCCAAACAGTAAATTGGAAATAGGAGCAGGCGGTGCTAGAACAGAGATTTCCTAGGCAGGAAAGGCAAGTCCAGAACACCAGCCAGAATCTTTTGCACAGTGCAGCATTTCCTCTCTGCCTGAAATCTTGAGCTGGTTCCACCATCTGGGTTTGCTAAATGCAAGTGAGCATTTTGCTTGACATTTTTACAACAGTTCTTGAGCACTGAAAACGTTTTCACTGTGGCCTTTCAGGTCCTGTGGTGGAAGAGACCAGGTAACACTTGCCCGGACCCACACAGTTACATTGTAGCTGGAAAAAGAACCCTACAAACACCTTGACTTACGGCCTCATTTTTTCAGTTCTTAAAGGCTCCACATTTACTGGCTTTTGCAATGAATTCCTTTAACAGGGGACCATCCATTTGCCAAAATGCTGTAGTTTGTGTCACTTCCGTCAAATGATTGACACAAAACTTAAAGCAGAATTCCTCTAAGTCCTAAAAAGGGAATAAAAAAAAAAAAGAGAAAAAGTTATTATCTTTGCTTTCAATCACAGAAAATTTCATTGAGGCACAAATGCCTGTTTGTTTTATTTTTGCAGTGAATTAGACAAACACACCCAATGGCTCTCAGTGTTTCCCCCCAACAGTCACTATGTAAATGCTGTTACAAGGGGAAGTAACCAAAACTTGTTTCTCACTATATAGCAGCAGTCCCAAAAAAACAGCTGTTCTGAGCACTACATATTTTAATTTCTCGCGCTTGAAGAGTTTAATCTGCATTCTCGGACAACTTTGAAACTCCAATATAAATAGGAGATCTTGGGGTAATGATATATAACCAAGACTATGGATAAAGAAAATTCACAATATAAACAAATCTATGGGTAAGGTTGCTTGACTTCTTCCTGCTTATTGAAGGGCTTAGCTAGAGCATTGAAGTTCAATGTCCCCAGGGCTCAAGTGCATGTGTATCCTGACTAGATAGTTTGTACAACAGAGATTAGGCAGAAGGTCTTTCTGTGCATTAGAAACAGACTCGCGCTACAAAGTACTTCACAGGTCTCCCAAACGTGATTCAAATGCAGTACTGGAGCACAGTGCAGCACAGCAATTCTTGCAGACTGAGCTCTGGGTATTTGAGTTTACTTGGAAGTGCTTCCCATGCCATAATTAGAAAAGCCTCACAACCACCATTGCACAAAGGTGATGTTAGACAGAGAGGATGCCTTAAAGAACACAAGGCACAGTCCTTGTCAGTGTAAGGTTCCCCACAGAACACTTCCCACTCAGATTATTTCCAACTCTCTTTTGAGGAGGAAATCTACTCTGTGGTGCAGATCTAAGATGCTCTAAGGAGGATGCCGCAGCCCTGGCAAAAGGGCAACTCCCCACCCTGTTCTCATTTCTTTATCAGATGTTTGTAGGACTCTGCATGTGAGAACACACCCTTCCTTGGCTGCTCAGCAGACTGGGCACTGCAGGAAGGCATAAACTTGTAGAGCTCTCTAAGGCCCATGAGCTATGAAAGACTGAATAATATTCATGTGTTCTCTTAAGGTCAGTACTGAAACTAGAGCAACTGTGTGTGCCAGTGACAATTCTTGACATATCAATAATATAAAAATATATCCTGGCCTAAAACCAGGCATTCTGAAGCTGCAGATCTTGACTTGTGTGGCATCTGTGCAATAGAAA